AGCCTGCAACCCAAGCATGTACCTTGACCAGGAACTGAACCAGCGACCTCTCAGTGCATGAGTCAACACTCAACCACTAAGTCACACCAGCTGGGCTGTGATGAACATTCCTGTACTCATCTTTGCCCTCATCTTGTCATTATCTGCTCAAGCCTAATCACAGGAGATAAACTACTAGTTTAAATCATAGGAGATAAACTACTAGTTTGAAGAGAATGCAATCTTTTAAAGTATGTCTCTAAAACAGGTGAAATCTAAAGCACGAACCACTCTTTATGTCCCCTACCCACCTCTCTTCTGGGTTTGAGTATGTTTGTGACTTCTTTCCAAAGAAGTACATTTCCCTCCCTTTCCCAAACTGCCCACATGTGACTTCTCTGCCCCTTCTCCTCCCTTTGAAATCATTGCCCTCTCTCCCTGCTCAGCTCAGCTCAGCTCTCCATGTGGTACCTGCAACACATTCATTCATTCAGATAACTCAGTAAACAGTAAATATGCATAAAGCATTTATTCTGTGCTAAGCTCTGGGAAATATAGAGGCGAATGAGTAAAATCCTCATCTTCATAGAACTTATAAATACTAACAGAATTTCAGAACTTATAAATACTAACAGAATATAAGACAACTTATATGAAGAACCAACAGAGTAATGAGAGTGATTGGATGTGAAGAGATGCGTTAGATAAAATGGCCCAGTGCATCTTCTCTGAAGAGGTGACATTTGAATGGAGAGAACATTTCATTATACTTCTCTGTTGATGTGTCTTCCTCCCTTTGTTAGATGGGGACCTTGTTTTATTATGCATATCCCAGAGTAGCACAGTGCCCGGCACATAGAGACAGCTCAGTAGACATGTATGGGATGAATGGATGGATGGATGGATGGATGGATGGATGGATGGATGGATGGATGGATGGATGGACGAAGGAAGGAACGAACTAACGAACAAATGAGTCGGTGGAGGTGATAGCCCCATCACCCTCTGCACTGCTCTGAGCCCAGATCCAGGGAGGTGGGTTCCTCTCTCGGGTGCCTCACCTTGTAACCTAAGAATGAGTAGGAGCCCAGAGATCTTGGGGAGCTCACTCCACTGTCCGCAAGCCTCCTGGCAGAGCTGCCCTGCGAACCAGGACAGCAGCACAGCACAGAGGTTAAGAACAGAGGCTTGAATTTGGCTCTGATGTTTATTCACTCTGTGACCTTGGACAAGTTACCCAACTCTATGAGTCAGTTTTAAATCTAGAAAATGAAGATAATAGCACCTATTTCACTGAGCTGTGAGAATTAAATGAAGATAAAGTATGTAAGAGCTTGGCAGGGAGGAGGGCTCAGCAAAGGGGAACAGCCAGCCTTACTGTGCCTGATGTGCCAGAGCCTGCTAGTGGCTGAGTGAAATGGCGTTTACCTGGCTGGCTCCCGTTAGGACTCTCCCAAGGTGTGGGGAAGCCAGGGCTGGGCAGGAGGCTGGAGGCCTGGGCAAGACTTCAAGAGAGAAGACAGCGTGTGGGCATATTTTCCACATTATTCCAAATGTTTACCCATATCCTGATTTCTCTTTATAAAGACTGATTGTAAAAACAATATAAAGACATTAAAGGGAATTTTAAAGAAAAGAAAAAATCACCTATGAGCTCAGCATTCTAGCCCAATGATATATATATTTTTCTGTCTAGTTTTTCTTGTTTGTCCAAATACATACATGTTTTATATCACTGAAGTTACAATGATCTATTTTGTATTTTGCATGTCATTTAACATTAAAATTTTTTTTTTCCTTATTGACTTTTAGAGAGAAAGGAAGGAGAGGGAGAGAGAGGTTGAAATATCCATGAGAGAAAACATCGATTGGCTGCTTCCTGCATGCCCCCCACTGGGGATTGGGCCCACAACCTGGACATGTGCCCTGACTAGGAATTGAACCGGTGACCTCTTGGTGCATGGATCGACACTCAACCGTGAGCCACACCGGCCAGGCTATCATTTAACATTTTTATTATAAATGTTTCGTCACAATCCTGTAGTCTTCAGATAAAGAATTTTTAACGACAGCTTGATCTTCTAAGTTGATGAACCATCATTTATTTACTCATTTTCTTATTGCTGGATATTTAGTTTGCTTCTCTTTGCTGTTAAAGAAAAACATATATTTGTTTATAGCTTTTTAATTCAGTATGGCTACATTGCTCCCCAGCATAACAATTTATACTTTATATGAGTATAGAGCACAGTCTCACCCACTCTGCAGGGAGCTTTAGTGTTGTTAATGTGGCTGAACCTTGTTACCTTAATCTGGTGCATCATGGTATTTATTTACTATTTAAATTCCTGGTGAATAAAATTTAGTTCCTGTTCCTTGCTCATTATCACTCTTGATCAGCTATTTATAAACATAATCTTTTTTCTTATTTGCTGCAAGATTTTTCTCCAGTCTGTCGACTTTCCTTTATCTTTTCTAAAATTATACTTTTTTTTGGTTAATCCTCATCTGAGGATATTTTTTTCCATTGATTTTAGTGAGAGTAGGAGGGAGAAAGGGAGAGGGAGAGAGAGAGAAACAACCTGCAACCCAGGTATGTCCCCTTGACCAGGAATCAAACTCGAGACCCTTTGGTCTGAGGGCTGATGCTCTAACTGCTGAGCCAAACTCGCCAGGGCATAATATTTTAAAAATTTTATCTTTATTGTTGAAAGAATTACAGATGTCCTTCCTTTCTTTTCTCCCTCATTGACCCCCTCCTCCCTGCGCCTGCTCTGCCCCTGCCTTTACCGCACTATTGTCTGTGTCCATTGGTTATGCATATATGCATATAAATTTTCATTTATCTCTTTCTGCCCCCAGCCCCTTCCCTCTGAGGTTTTTTAGTCTGTTCCCTACTGCCAAGCCTCTAGGTCTATTTTGTATATCAGTTTTTTGTTTGTTTTTTTCATTACATTTCACAAATAAGTGAGATCATGTGAAAGCTTTATCTTTGCAGGAGCTCTTCCAGGCTCTCTTACCTAAAATTCCAACCCCAACTCCCTACCTCTCATTTTGTATTTCTCATTCCTGATTTTCGTTTCTTCTCCTTAGCATGTTATTGCTATCTACCATACAAACCATGCTCTTATTTCATCTGGGTAACTTGGCTCATCCCTCTCCAGCTGGGATACAAGTCTATCAGGACTTTTGTCTGTTTGGTTCACTGCTCTTACATCAGCAGTGCCTGACCACTCAAATCACTGTCAAATGAAAAACTAAGTCATTGTTAACATTTTATTTGTTTGTTTGTTTGTTTATTTATTTATTTATCAGTCCCCACCCGAGGACATTTTTGCATTTATCTTCAGATAGAGCAGGAGGGAGAGATGGAGGAAGAGAGAAAGAGAAACATTGATGTGAGAGAGACACATCGAGTGGTTGCCACCCACATGACCCTAACCGGGGCCGGGGACAAACTGCAACCGAGGTACATACCCTTAGCGGGAACCAAACCCGGGACTCTCTGGTCCGCGGGCCGATGCTCTAACCACTGAGCCAAACCAGCCAGGGTGTGACCTATGTATTAACAGTTTAAGACAGGGCATTCACACCAGATGGCTACTGTTGTGTTGGCTGTTATCATTTTTATTTGACAATCTAAGGGAAAAGAGGTCAGTGCTCTTGACTAAATAGTCAGGTATTGCATGTTTTAAAAATTCTTGCAGCACACTGGTGGAAAATTGCTGACTTAGTGGGTAGAGGGAAATGGAGGCAAGGGTTAGACAAAAGAAGGAAAAAAGAAGAGAAGGGGCCAGAAAAGAAGAAGTAGAAGAAAGTTAAAGGTGACTGGAAGTATTGAAATGAAACAAGACACACAAACATGCTCTGGCCAGTTTGGTTCAGTGGTTAGAGCGTCGGCCTGCGGTCCAGAGAGACCCGGGTTCAGTTCCCGCTAAGGGCATGTACCTCGGTTGCAGTTTGTCCCCGGCCCTGGTTGGTCGTGCAGGTGGCAGCCACTTGATGTGTCCCTTTCACGTCGATGTTTCTCTCTCTCTCTGTTCCTTTCTTCCTCCCACTCTACCTGAACAAAAAATGGAAAAATGTCCTCGGGTGAGAATAAAATAAAACACACACACACACACACACACACACACACACACACACACAAGCAAGACTCTAACACACGCGGGGACTGGACGGGATTATGGAGGAAGGTCCGGAGCAGCTTTATCACTGGAGGCAGAGGGAGGCCTCAGTGGGTGTTAGGTCACAACACCTATTTCTGGGAGCAGGCATGTGCCACTGGTCCCTGAGTTTGATGTTTCCCTTGGGGTCAGAGCACTGGGCCCAAGGTTCCCGTGTGAAAAACATCCTCTGCTGACTGTGGCTCTGTCCCCAGGCCTCCTCCCCTAGGACTGTGTGTTTAGGCAACTGCACTGCATTTTTAGAACAATTTTTAACTTGCAGGCTGTACTTGTGGAACCAGAGTGTCTGCTCAAGACCAGTTACATGACATTTTCAGGACCTATGGGTGCTAAGGTCAACTGCAGCCCAGGTAGCTGTGGGCTGAGCCTAGCAGAGAGGGCAGGAGGTAAAAGGAAGCAGAGGCCTGAGCCCCACTCTGGAGAAGGAAAGCTGAGTGGGGCAAGACCAAGTCTGAGTTTTCTATCCAGGTGCCCTTAGAATGTAGCTCTGCTCTGTTTCAAGTCTTCCTAAGGGAGTTAGGCTAGATCTAAGAAAGAACCTCACCACGGAAGAACTGCGAAATATGAACGTTATGTAAGACTGTGAAGTTTTCTTTTGTTTCATTATTACTTCATTGATTTTAGAGAGAGAGGAAGTGAGAGGAAGAGATAGAAACATCGATGAGAGAGAACATCGATTGGCTACCTCCTGCATGCCCCATGCTGGGGATTTGGTCCACAACCTGGGCATGTGCCCTGACTGCGTATCAAACCAGCGACCTCTTGGTGCATGGGTCGATGCTCAACCACTGAGCCACACTGGCTGGTCTGAAGTTTTCTTTTGTATCTGTTTAAAGATTATCTCTGATGAATGAAGTCCTGCCTGGAGTGAGGAATGGACTACTGTATATGACTTCCAGAAGACTCTGTCTGGCTGATGATTCATGGTGCACTGGGCAGATCCCAGGTTAGGACACCTCGTGCCTAGGGCCTAAGTGCTCTTCTGGGAATAAGACCAAACCTCAAAAAGGGTTTGCAGAATTAAGATAAGGAGCTGAGTTCATTTCAGCCTCTACAGCAGTCTGGGGCAGGCCTGAGCACAGGGAAGGAGAGATTGCAGATGGCCATCAGGGCAGCTGGAATGCACATTGTTGAAATAGCCTGGAGCCCCCAGAATCCAGAGAGGTGAATAGGAGAAAGAATCCCAGCAAGCCAGTGCTGGCAGGCACTGCGCAGAGCAGCTGGTCCAACCTCCTCATTTTATAGACAGAAGACTGAAAAGTGACTCATTTGCCCACAGTCTCATAAAGGAGAAGAGCATGATGAGGCTGGTAGATCAGCTATAGGCAGTTCAAGGCCTTAAAGTTTTCCATGAACTTCAGATGTCCAAAGGGAGGCCTAGCTCTGGAGGCTGCTGGGTGGATTTGAGGGAGGGTTTAAGAATCCCATGTAGCCCTGGCCGGTCTGGCTCAGCGGTTAGAGCTTCGGCCTGCGGTCCAGAGAGACCCGGGTTCGGTTCCCGCTAAGGGCATGCACCTCGGTTGCAGTTTTTCCCCGGGCCTGGTTGGTTGTGCGGGTGGCAGCCATTCAATGTGTCCCTTTCACGTCGATGTTTCTCTCTCTCTCCCTCTCTCTCCCTCCCACTCTATCTGAACAAAAAATGGAAAAATGTCCTCAGATGAAGATTGGGAAAAAAAAAAAAAAAAGAATCCCATGTAGAGTTCTAAGCCGTGGGTCTGGAGCTGAGTCTTGGCTGCAAGGCACAGATGGGAAGACATCTAAGAGGTATGGAGGAAGAACAATGAATAGGACTTAGATATGGATCTCCTGGGGTCAAAGCAGGGACCCAAAGTAGTGGCTGACATCTCTACCCTGACCTTTCTTCCTCAGCTCCCAAGGTTACCCCCCAACCCTGCCAACTTTCCCATAACTCAGGAGCAAGACCCTGCCTGCTCACCTTTTGCTAGCCAGTCAACAGGCTTCCATGGACCTCACTTGCTCTGGGTTGCGTGGCATCTCTCTCCATTCACACCCATTTCCTTCTCCCTCCTTTCTCTCCACTCACATGGCTCACAGAGAGGCTGAACCCCTTTTCACTGACACTGTAGCAGTCCCATTGGTCACATTGACCTCACCCCAGATTCGCCTGGACACTACCCACGGCCTCCTCACGGGTCCCCTGCCTCCATTCTACTCCTCTGGTCCTCCTCCACTTAGCCAGCAGCTAGAGGGTGTATAAAAACACAAACCTGGTCATCTCATTCCCTGAAAACTAGTCATGGCTCTCCAGAGCCTCCAAGATAAAGCACCAACTCCTTGGGAGAGCAGGGAAGACCTTCAGGAGCTGGCCTCGTCCACTCCAGCCTTGGATATTACCTTCTGCTCCATGCTCATCCATCAGGCCTTTTCATACGCCTGGCTTTTGCACTTTATTTTTTTCCTGCCTTGGATGATCTTATACCCTCTGTCTACTTGGGATACCGCCTATTCATCCAAGTCTCAGACCAAAGCTGCTTCTGCTGGGAAACCCTCACTGATCTCCTCAGGCAGAGACTGGCATCCCCCCTCCCCCCAGCTCCTGAGATGGCCCGCACTTGCCTAGCTTAGTACTTGCCACACGTGCTCTAATTACCCACTTGCCTATTGTGGTTGGCAGTCTCCATGGATGACACACAATGATCCCTGCTTCTTGGTATTTCTCTTGTCTGGTGCCCTCATGACCAGGGCTACATGGGATTCTTGAACCCTCCCTCAAATCCACCCAGCAGCCTCCAGGAGGTCATGTGTGTGGCCTGGACCAATTGACTCCCTTCTAATGACAAGAATACAACAGAAGTTAAGAGATGTCACTTCTGAGATTTATTACAAAAAGATGGCTTTTTATTTGGGGGTCTCTCTCTCTCTCTCTCTCTCAATCAGGGCCCTCATTCTGGAGTAGTCCTGTGGAAAGGCCCAGGAACAGATGTCTCTAGCCAACAGTCAGTAAGGACTTGAGGTGGGTCAACTGCTACATGAGTGAGCTGGAAGCAGATCCTCCCCCCAGTTAAGCCTCTGAGTTGACTGCAACCCAGTTGTCCTTGATTGGTTTTGTTGTAGGAGACTCTGTGTTAGAGGCACCTGGCTAAGCTGAGCCCAGATTCCTGACTCATAGAAACTGTGAGATAACAGATGTTTGTTGTTTAATCCTCTAACTTTTGGGGCAATTTGTTACACAGCAATAGATAACCAATACACATGTCTTCTCTTTTGGTCTGAGAGCTTCTTGGGGACTGACTTATTCATCTTGAGATCTGCTGGAACAACTCAATAGGTAAGTGAAAAGATCCTACAAGTTTTGAAGAAGCAAAAGTAAAACAAAACCAAAGAAAGGTTTCATACAATGGATCCAGAATTAGCATGACATCAGCCTTCTCTCAACATCAATGCTGGAAGCTAGAACACAATGAAACAAGACCTTCAAAATTCTGAGGGAAATGACATCCAACCTACTGCAATTAAGTGTGAGCAGGAAACATTTCAGTGGAGATCTCAAAAATTTACCTATAATGCACCCATTTTCTCAGGAAGCTACTTGAGGAAGTGCTGTGCCAAAACAAGACTATAAATCAAGAAAGAAGAAATGAGCCCAACCAGTGTGGTTCAGTGGTTGAGTATCGACCCATGCACCAGGAGGTCACAGGTTCGATTCCCAGTCAGGGCACATCCCGGGGGGTAGAGGGTGGGGGGTGGGAGGGTTGCAGGAGGCAGCCAGTTGATTTTCTTTCTCATTGATGTTTCTATCTCTTTCTCCCTTTCCCTTCCTCTCTCTCTAAAATCAATAAAGATACAGATTTTTTTTTTAAAGAAAGAAGAAATGAGATCCAGGAACCAAGAGCCCATAAAGTAAGGAGCAGAGGGACTCTAGCTGACGGTGAGGGGAAATCCCCAGACAACAGCTGTGGTGGAGGCCTGGAAGGGACAAGTCCAGACTGGAGCGGATCAGATCGCTGATAGAACCCCTAATATTTTTTTAGCATATTGACTAGAGATTTATACACAAATGGGGGAGATTTTGAGTTTGAATTAGCAACTAATATACAGAATACTAAGCAAATGAAAAAAGTAAGACAATTACTAACTCTAGTAAAAACAAAATGTGCAGGAAAAAGTAATTATAGTATAGTACCTGAGCTGTGAATAGAGTTTTCAAAATCAAAATGTTGATCTAAACAAAATTACAACATAACTAAATTGGAAGGAAGGGGAAAAGAAAAGATTGATTGGCTAAACCTGTGTGGTGGGGACACAGGGAGAGCAAAAAAAAGAACTAAAGAATCAGCTAAAAAAGTTGAAAGTGGTTGCCTCTGGGGTCTGAGTTGCAAGAGATAGTTATTTTTCATAGCAAGTCTTACAGAACTATTTAACTCATTAAACTATGTGCAAGCATTCCTCTATTAAAAATTAACCTTAAAATATACCATATTTCTACATATAGAAGTTATTCAATAAATGGTAACCATTAAAATTCCTTCCATATGACATCTTCATCAAACAGCATGCAGGTGGATGTATACATTGGGACACTTGATTGCAAAGTATTAAGCCTCAACTCAAAACTGGTGAAAGCACAAAAGGAGATTGAAATGTGTCATGTCACAAACAAGCTTCAGTCATCATGGCTGGATCCAGGTGTTCCCATGGCACCAGCAGAGATCTTTCTCTCTCCATTACTTAGCTCTATTTTCTTTTTTTTTTTCAATCCTCACCCGAGGACATTTTTCCATTTTTTGTTCAGGTAGAGTGGGAGGGAGAGAGAGGAACAGAGAGAGAGAGAGAAACATCGATGTGAAAGGAACACATCGAGTGGCTGCCACCCGCACAACCGACCGGGGCCGGGGACAAACTGCAACCGAGGTACATGCCCTTAGCGGGAACCGAACCCGGGTCTCTCAGGACCGCAGGCCGACGCTCTAACCGCTGAGCCAAACCGGCCAGGGCTCTATTTTCTATTTTTGACTTCATTCTCAAGCAGGCTCCTCTCACACCTTGGCAAGCTGGCCTCCAAGATTTACCTCCAGGTTTCTATCTTACTAGCTTTGTGATCCTAGTGGAAGGAAAGGGTCTTTGCTTGGTAATTGCAACAGAATGCCTGGGATAGACACTCATTGATCTGGCCTGGGTCACATGCCCATCCCTGGATGGATTGCTATGGCCAAAGGGATACAGCACTCTGATTGGCAAAGCCTGAGTCATATGCCCACCCCTGGAACCATGGACAAAGTCGGGGTGGAATGGCCTCGCAAAAAAAATCTGGGTGCTGTTATTAGAAAAAGTGAGGATAAATGCTGCAAAACCAATAGTTGTGCCCTTGCCTGAAGACTGAGACTGCTGGTTACCCTCATTGGTGTGGGAGCTACTGGGTAGGAACCTTCTGACCACTACACAATTGGCCCATTCCCTCTGCTTCATGAGAGCCATTCTGGACTGCAGGCGGATGCTCTAACCACTGAGCAAAACCGGCCAGGGCATGAGAGCCATTCTGTATTGAGACATGTTTCATGTTTCCACATCTTCTAATCTCTGAGGAAACAAGCTTAGATCCCCTAGCTTTCCTTGCATACGTTTCTGGACTCCACTCTTTCCTGGCTCTCTTTCCCTAGATGCTGAGTAGTGTCAAAATACTAAAATGTGGTACCCAGAGCTGAATGAAGCTCCAGGTGTGTGGTCTAATCAGCCTGTTGGCCCATGGGGTGCTCGTCTCATTTCTCCTTGACAGTGACTGCAGTGCATTGTTGGCTCGTACTCAGCTCCGCTAAACACTTTTTATTATATGAGCGTCATTAAGCCAGGGGTTCCTCATTCTGCATTCATGCTATTGGTTCTTTGGACCTAAACAAAGGACTTTGTCCTTGTTAAATTTCAACTTATAAATTTGGTCCACCATTGAAGCTCACTGAGGTGTTTTTGAATATAGATCCTGTTTTCAGTACTAACCATCTCTCCAGGTTTTGCACAATCCACCTATTTGATTGATCCAAGAAGAAAATAGAATAAATTAGGGTCAAGGGCCCTCTGCCCCACTACCCAAGTCCACATGATATGTTGTGATTGCCCAATCAGCTATGAAGCAACCAGATTGTTTAGTTTCCTACGGCTACCAGAATACACTACCAAGATCTGAATGGCTTAAAATAACAGAAATTCATTCTCTCACAGTTCTGGAGGCTAGAGATCCCAACAAAGTGTCAGCAGGGCCACGCTTCCTCCAAAGACTCTACAGAGAATCTTTCCTTGCCTCTTCATAACTTTTGGTGGCTGCTGGCAGTCCTTGATGTTCCTGGGATTATAGCTACACCACTCCATCTCTGCCTTCATCTTCACATGGCATTCTTCCCTCTGTGCGTCTTCCTTGAGTCTCTTTGTCCAGTTTTCCTCTTATGAGGGCACTGGTTATTGGTTTAGGGCTCATCTTGATCCAGTATGACTTCATCGTAACTAGGGTACAAATGCGAAGACCCTATTTCCTAATAAGGTCACATTCATTCACAGGTGGGAGGGGTGAGGACGTCAGTATCTTTTGGCGGGGCACAATTCAACCTACCATATAAGCGGTATCAGTTTTCATCTCCCATGTCTCCTTCTTGATGCAGGTTCTGCAGAGCATTTCTATTGAAAGACTGGCTACAATCCGGACGGCCTGGGAGTCTATACACCCCACTCCATAAACCAGTCAAGCCGATCTACCAACCCAATCTGGAGCAGTAGTTGCCACCAGGAGCTGTATATGGCTGCTCTCTCCCTTCCCACTTTTCAGAGATTCTGATGGAATCTCCCCCTGGGCAGAAGGCCAAAATCTTGGGGGTGGGGAGAGGGTACATGGAGGAAGGAGGCCATACAGTGGCATGGTTAAAAGCTTAGGCTTTGGAATGAGGCAGACCTGTGACTTTTGGCTAGCTTACTCAACCTCTCTAGCATCCCATTTTCTTTACTTGTAAAATGTGAGCACTAAACCTTATCATCCTTATAAAGATGAAATGACATCCCAGGGTAGCAGTAGCAGTTGCCATTGTTACTGCTCCTGCTCCTGCTATGAGCTGCTTGTGATTTGGATGAATCCCGAGGGAAATCCAGATCTTCAATGTCCCCCTGAGGCATGTTTCTTAACATCACTGAACATGTTTTAGTTTTCTGCCACTGCAGAATGAGAAACCTAACTCTCAGGGTGTTGTGAGATCTGAGTACACCCAGAGCCTGGGGCACAATAAAAGCATCAATAATGTTTGCTTCTTTCCCTTCCTTTCCCCTGTGAACAAAGAAAGTAATGTTAGTCTGTGACATGACCTACTGTCCAGAAACTCAAGGTGGCTCCTTCACAATCACTCTCTTTTCTCTGTCCTTGGGGAGAGATCTTGGATTTTATATTGAGCTTGTCTTTATAGAGACTCTAATCTGTTTTCAAAAACAAATGTTTTAAAAAATAGTTATTACAATATTATTGACTTTATCCCCTAGGCTGTACTTTATATCCTCGTGATTATTTTGTAACTACCAATCTGTACTTCTCAGTTCCCTTACATTTTTTCTAGCCCAACCCTCCTCCCATCTGGCAACCCTGTGTTTGTTCTCTATATCTCTTAGTTTACTTCTGTTTTGGTTTCCTTGTATATTTTGTTCCTTAGATTCCATATTTAAGGGAAATCAAATGGCATTTCTCTGTTTGACTCATTTCATATAGCAAAATACCCTCTAGATCCATCCATGTTGCCCCAAACAGTAAGATTTCATTCTTTTTTTACAGCCAAGTAATATTCCATTGTGTCACTATTTTTATTATGCCCATTTCACCCAAGCAATAACTGAAGGCAGGCAGTTAATAGCAGCCCCACAAGTAGGTAGGGCTGAGAGGTGGAACATAACTTCAGTCCACACTCTCGAACTCCAAGCCCTATACTTTGCCTTCACACAAAACAACTGAGATTTTTTTAAAAAGTTTAATTATATACGTAAATGAATTTTCTTCAAAATATTAGAACATTACTGATCAACCTAAAATTTCTTTGCATATCACTTTTTTTTTTATCCTCACCCGAGGACATTTTTTCATTCATCTTCAGACAGATTAGGAGGGAGGAAGAGAGAGAGAGAGAGAGAGAGAGAGAGACATCAATGTGAGAGGGACACATCAACTGGTTGCCTTCTGCGTGACCCCGATCCTAGGGCTGGGGACAAACCACAACCGAGGTATGTGCCCTTGGCCGGAATCGAACCCAGGTCTCATTAGTCTGTGGGTCAACGCTCTAACCACTGAGCCAAATAGGCCAGGGCTGCACATCACTTTTAATCCTTGTCCACATCTTCACCTCCTCAAGGGTTACTGTTTATGGATTTGAACTTTAAAAAATAGAGACATTTCCATTCCTTTATTTACATGTAAACCCATACAAAATATACAGTATTGTGTTTGTGTGTTTTCAAATAGATGGCATCATGTACCACACTTGATCTGGCTACTTGCATTTTTCTGCAGGCACTTTGAGAGAGTTCTCCCTGCTGAAACATGTAACTCTGCCTTGTTCCTTTTGTCCCCTGTATCCCACCATCCATGCCATCCTTGGTGGAGCCTGCCTCTGTTGACAGCCCCCTGCTCATGCCCCATTTCCTATGGCGTCTGGGGGCTGGAGGCTTTGTTAAGCGGGACCTGAGCAGCCCTCAGGAAGGTCTCCTGGGCTCACAGACTTCCTCAGCTAAAGAGACCAGAATCATGGGGAGCTGACTTTGAAAATAGGGCCACCCACAGACCCTAACTGTCTGGGTTCAAGATCAAGGACTTCTCCCAGGCCACCTGCAGCAGTAGCAGGAAGGCCCAGCAGAGCTTGCCTGGCCTTCAGCTCCTCCCTGCTGGGCCAGCCCTCCTCCCCTCTGCTTGCCAACAGGACCCGCTACTAGGGAAAGATGAAAAGAGAAGTAAAATAAACACGATAAATAGACTAAAGGTTACCGAGTAAAATGGCAGCAATAAAACAATAAAAACAAGCCAACCGACTACAGTGCAAATACACAAACATGAAGAGATTAAACCCTTTTTGAACAGGCCTTGATCTAAATTAAGACTCTCCAAGGGCAAGGCCTGAGACTGGAGGTGGGGAGTGGTTCCCTAGGGAGCTCGCTCTCCCTCTTTCCTGTACGGATTCATCCTTCCTGATGGAACTGAACCTGGGTTCCTTCATGAATTTCTTCCAGATCAGTGGTTATACATTTGAACCACTTGGGAAGATTTAAAACAAACATACAATTTCCCAGTGGTTGGGGGTAAGTCAGTTGGGGGTGAGAATCTATGAATTAACACTACACTGATTTATAGTGTTTGCTGATTTTCATGCTATAAATATCGGGGCAATTTTAAGCTGCTAATGGTTTGCAAATTAATTCATTTAGTATTCAAGACAATGCACCACATTTAGGAACTCTTTATAACTTTTCTCACTTTCCAAGAATTTTCCTGTACACCATGATCACTGAAAAAACAGCCAATCAAAATTGAATAAGCCAAATAATTTATAAAGCAACTTTCTTAAAATCCTTTCAAACAGTCTACAGCAAAAAATATTTAGCCCTGACCAGGTGGCTCGGTTAGTTAGAGTGTCATCCTGTGCACTAAAAGGTTGCAGGTCCAATTCCCAGTCAGGGCACATACCTAGGTTGTGGGTTTGATCCCCATAGGGGTGCGTATGAGAGGCAACTGATGGATGTTCCTCTCCCACATCAATGTTCCTCTCTCTCTCAAATCAATAAACGTGTCCTCAGGTGAGGATTTAATGTGGGCTGCTGGCATGTTGTACAATGTTTGATATGATGTGTGGGAGGCTGCCACAAGGAAGTATTGCAGGGTCCACAGAGGGAGTAGAAGAGGAGGGGTCTGCATTGGCCAGAGGTGGACAAGAGAAGCACCGCTGACTACAGAAACCCTCTGCAGAGTGCGCAGAGTCCACTAGCGCTTTCACAGAAAAGAAAACTGGGATTCTTGAAGGTAAAGCAACTTGCTCAAGGTCACATGGCAGGTTTCAAGACAGAACTTCTGAAGCCAGAACGAGGCCTCCTTCCAAAATGCACTGGAGCCCACCTAGTGGTGTCTAAAGCCCCAGCTCAGGCCGAGAACATGTAAAGGTCAGGTACCCCTTCCTTCCCTTCCTTTCTTGACCTTAAGCCATGTCTTGCAGCTGCTGACCTGGCAAGACCACGGGCTGATCTCACTTGGGCCATGAGTGCCCAAATGGGCAGCTTGTGAGCCCACAGCCTCCTGACACCCAGGTGAAAGCTTAAATCACCCACCTCCCAGCAAGGCTCCCAGCACAGAGTAGGGGAGGCCGGGAGAGCTTCCAGGCTGTGGTTTAGGAGCCAGAGCTGCTGAGATGCAGGGCAAGCCCATGCCGTGGGAGCTGCTCCTTGCAGCCATGGGTCACATAGTCCATGAAGTCAGCCAGGCAGGGTGGAAGTCCCCACAGAGAAAGTGTTCTCACAAAGGAGGGGGCCCATTTCCCCACCCCCTGCAGTGAGCCATGCCCCTAAGGGCTCCTTACAGCTCACCCCTTTCAGTGGCAAACCTACGCCCCCACCTTCCTGCACCCGCACGGCGCAGCTGTCTGAGCAGGAGTGAGCCTAGGCAGAAGAAAATAGTTGGTTCCCTCAAGTATCAGTTACTCTGGCCAGCTCTGGGCCTTCTCGGTGCAAGTGGGGCCTGAAGGTATCCCCAAATAGCCCTCAGGGTAGCCTGGAGCTCCCAGCCTTCAAGGTCAGATATTGCTACTAAGAATCCAGAAGAGGCTCTCTTCTCATATCCTCCTTGGCAGCTGCCCTCAAGCAGGCCAGCTGGGCATAGCTGGGGAGGAGGCAAGGGCAGGCTCCCTGTGCTCTGGTGCGGGTGTCTGGTCCCCGTGGCAACCTCTCATCCCTAAATTTATATGTGGATTAAGAACACTCCATCTGGCAAGAGTAGATGGAATCGGGGCAGAAGCACAGACACTGGATTTCAGATCTGTGATGTGGTGTATGTCTGTGTGTGTGATTTATGTACCACATGACATGGGGAGGGCACCTGACTCAGTGTGTGTGATAGGAAGGTGATTTTGCGGGGGAGGAGATTAACCAAAGGAAATGGGAAATTGAGGTCAGAATGGAGAGGAAATTTCAAAACTGGGCAGAGAATGATAGGCGGGCAGAGAATGATGAGGACCGAAGAGCTCAAAAAGGTCTGACAAAAGCCTGAGTAGCCCTGGCCGGTTTGGCTCAGCGGTTAGAGCATCGGCCTGCGGTCCAGAGAGACCCGGGTTCGGTTCCCGCTAAGGGCATGTGCTTCGGTTGCAGTTTGTCCCCAACCCCGGTTGGTCGTGCAGATGGCAGCCACTCGGTGTGTCCCTTTCACATCGATGTTTCTCTCTTCCTCTCTCTCCCTCCCGCTCTGTCTGAATAAAAAAATGGAAAAATGTCCCCTAGGTGAGGATAAAAAATAATAATAATAGTAATAATTTTTGAAGGAAAAAAAAAAAAGCCTGAAGAAGGAGAGAAGCCCTGTAGCACCGAAACCCCCAAGGGCCTAAGGGCATCCCTCAACAGGAGACACAGCACACAGGAGTGAAAGCAGAAGAAAGTGTAAATATGGCTGCAAGCAACAGAACACTTGACTTTTAGGCCTCTGAACAAACAGTGGTTTCTTTGTCTCACATAACAGAAATTTTGAAAGTGGGCTGGGGCTGGTGTTCAGCAGTGTCAGGACTGGCATTGCTGAGGTTGTCTTGGCCTTTCCCCTTGGAAATATAGTTGCTGCAGTTTCAAATATCAGGAACCTCTTGAAGTAGGAAGAAAGAGAGGGAACTGTGCCGGCAGCCTGTCCTAGGACTGCTCCATTCACCTGGGTCCCATTGACCGGAACTGGTCACATGGTCTCCCCTGGTGGCAAGGTAGGCTGGGAAAGCAG